TATTTATGTTAAAAAATTATCAATATAACTCAAAAAATAGTCGTTTTAGAGGAAGTTGAAATTTGTCCCAATTTATCTGCCCAACCCTGTGTACCTAAGTCGATTCATATTGTTGAGCTGAGCAAACCTATTGTAATTTCATCGGTCTAGTGAAGGTATCCATCAGAAAGTGTGATCAAAAAACGGTTGGTGACCTTCCATGACGTAGCATGACCTTTTGAGTGACCACTGACAGTGGCGGATCCAGGGGGGGGGGGCAAAATGGGCATTTGCCCCTCCCAAACGGCATAACTTTAACATAACGCCTATGGACGAGGCATGGAAAGAATCGATAAATTGTTATGGTTTGTCCCAGGGCTGCGGAGTCGGAGTCGGAGTCGGAGTCGGAGTCGGTCGGAGTCGACAGTTGTGACCGGAGTCGGAGTCGGAGTCGGAGTCGATTTTAGAATCCTGAGCCGGAGTCGGAGTCGGAGTCACCGAAAATCTGTCGACTCCGCAGCCCTGCTAGGTCTGCGGAGTCGGAGTCGCGAGTTGGAGTCGGTCGGAGTCGACAATTCTGCCCGGAGTCGGAGTCGGAGTCGGAGCTGGTTTTTGAAAGCCGGAGTCGGAGTCGGAGTCGGAGTCGCCGAAAATCCATCGACTCCGCAGCCCTGGATTGTCCCCCCCCCCCAAAAAAAAAACTCTGAGCTGGATCCGCCTCTGACCATTGATGACATGATGACCACTGGCGGCTAGCCATTCCACTAGCTGCACCCTGCCCGTTGCATATGGATCAGGTGGTGACGTCATGATTCTGAAACAGGCGCGGATCCAGGGGGGCGGCGGGGGCGGCCGCCCCCCCCCCCCGACATCCGAAAAAGGCGCCCATAGCCCGCGGCAGAGAGGGCGCCCCGAGCAAAACAGAGGCAACACAGCAAAGGTTGAGCAGAAATAGGGCGCCTCCAGCAGAAGTTGGGCTCACCAAGCAGGACAGCGACGCCCAATTGCCCATTCTCAGCAGATCAGAGTCGCCCCAGAAGCAGATGGGCGCCCCCAGCAGAAGAGGGGCGTCTTATTACAAGAATAAAAAGATGCCTTCTGTTCAAGAGGGGCACTCCTGGCAGGAGAGGTGTCCCCCTGAAGAGGAGCGACGCCCAAGCAAAAGTAGAGAGGCGCCCCCATTCCAAGAAGAAGAGGGGCGCCCTAACAGCAGATAGGCGCCCCAACAAAAAAAAGAGGAGCCCCATAATAAAAAATGGGTGCGACTGGCAGAAAAGGGGCGCAGCCGGCAGCGGAGGGGGCCCAGCAGGAGAAAGGAGCCTCCAGCAGGAGACGGGCGCCCTAGCGAAGGGGGGCGCCCCAGCAGAAGAGAGGCGCCACAGCAAAAGTTCGCCAAGCAGGATAGGGGCGCCCCATTGAAAATATCCGGCAGACGAGAGACGCCCCAGCAGCAGATGGGCGCCCCAGCAGACAGCAGCTGTTGGGCGCCCCCGGTAGAAGAGGGGCGCCTCATTACAAGAAGAAAAGGAGTATATTCTGCACAAGAGGGGCGCCCCTGAGGCAGCGGAAGGGCAACCCCAGCAGAGGGGCTGTGCCCCAGTAAAAGGAGAGTGGTGCCCCGCTCCGAGCAGAAGAGGGGCGCCCAAGCAAAAAGAGGAGCCCCATAAGAAGAAAAAGGGTGCCTCTGGCAGGAGAGAGACGTCCCCCGCAGTAGAAGGCGCCCCCAGAAGAGGCGTCTCTAGCAAAAGATAAGTGTCCCTGCAGGAGAGGGGCACCCCAGCAAAAGTTGCGCAGGAATGGGGCGCCCCAGCAGAGTTTGGGGGCGCCGAACAGGAAAGGGCCGCCCCATTCACAGTAGAAAAAGGGACTCCCCAGCAGCAAAGGCGTGCCCTAACAGAAAAGGTGCACTCCCAGTAGAAGCGGGACGCATCAAGAAGAAGAGGGGCACTTCTAGCAAAAAATGGGCGTCCCAGATAAGTGGGCCGCCTACAGCAAATTGGTCGTTCTTAGAAGAAATGAGGCGACTTCAGCAAAGTGAGCCTCCCCATGACGGATTGGGCGATCCAAGCAGAGGTTGGGCGCCCCCGGGAGAAGTGAGGCATACCAGTATAGGTGAGACGCTTCCAGAAAAGAGGGACATCACCGGGAGAAGAAGGACGCACCAGCAAATGGAGGCCACCTTTTTGCTTATCTCTTTTGCTAACGAAGCGGCGCCAATCTACGACATTTAACCCGCGCCGTGCTAGTGGTCTAAGTTTTCCGTGCCGTGCTGGGGGGGGGGGGTCACGCCCCCTCGTCTAACTCGGCTCTTGGGCCGCGTAGCGACACGCGGTAAGTGGCATTCGAAAGATCGTCCAAAAACAGGACGAAAACAACTCTGTCATTTTTTTAGGTCAGGTGAAAGGTCAGGACTCAGGTCACCATAGGTCATCAAAAGTAAAATGTTGCCTATTTCAACATTTTTTTTCGAAACACCGGCACATATCTAACTCGGAAACCAATACAGCTATAGTGCAGCGGAAAAGCGCATTCGTTAACCCTTTCAAAGGTGTTTCCGTAACCTGTCCTCAGATATGACGCAAGGTTAACGGTTTAGTCTTCGGAGGGCAAAAACTCTAAAAATAGCCGTTTTACGAATTAACAATGTCTTCCTGTAATAACTTTTGACTCAAGAGAGTCTCGACGTTACCTTTGCCAGCATCACGTTTCTGTTCGAGACGCGTCGAATGAACAATATGATGACTTTTAAAGGCAATTTTGAGAATTTGACCTCATGTCAAAGTCATGACCTGACCGGGAAAGATCATATTGCATATCAGTCGATCCGTATCGTCGAGCTGAACACAACTGAGTTTTTTATCGCTCTAGCATGTATCTATCAAAAGTTATTTACAAAAAAACAGCTGTGAACCTTTCATGACCTGGGATAACCTCTGGAACATAACTAATGAGTGGTCACAGGTGCAATGTTCTTATTAAGTGTGTTAAAGGAAATAGTTCACTTTTAACATGGGGTTTTGAGCTGGAATAGCAGTTTCGTAGCTTGAGCTGAGACTAGCACAAATCAGGAGCTTTTACGGCTCAACGATCACCCTAGACGAAGAAATTCCATTTCTCGTTCCGAAAAGAGTGCCTTGTAGAGGAATGCGTGCCTTGCACAGGAATGCAGCCACGTCATCGTCAGCCAATCAGCGTGCTGCTTACAGCCAATGCAGTATTCGTAGGTTTGAGCTACGCAATATGATTGGTCAATGCGTAATAAGCTTCCGCGTCAAACATTATTTTACATAGAATATAGTTCGCCCTATATTAAAATAAAGAAAATAATTGTTTTTACAAAAAGGTTTTATTTTATTTCATGATTATTTTGAGCATAAAAAATCATAAATCGATAGCAAAATACTGATTTCAGGAAAGTGGACTGTTTCCTTTAATTTTATCTGTATCCCAATGCTTGAGATTGTCTAGAATGGCGCTCGTCCAAAAGAGATGCCTTTCAATTTTCTCCCATAGACTTACCTATAGGTACATAATAGAGAGGTCGCAAAGCTGACCTGACCTTAGGTCACATATCAAAATTCCGTGATATACCTACATTTCATGAATATTGTTGCTTTCATCAACTGCTGAAAGTTTCAAAGCGATCGTTCAGTCGGTATAGCAATGGTGAGCATTTGAACTTTTTCTAAGGTTAGGTCACGTGGAATAACTTGGTGACCTAATCTTGCATCACCTGGGTCTCACATTTTTACAACATGTGCAGAAAAAATATATGATAACTGATAATGTATACTGAAAACGGCGGCGCTGCGCGCAGCCGTTTTAAAGATATTTGCGAAAAACCTAGGGAGGACGTGACAACGCCCCCCCCCCCCACGGCGTGGGTTTTAAACTCTCGATTTTGACGACGGTTTGGCGCCCCCGGATTGCCAGGTCGCCCCTATTTCAACTTGCCGCCCCCCCCTCCCGAAAATTCCTGGATCCGCCCCTGTGAAAGTATCTTGCAGTTTTAGCGCGCTTGTCACTGTCAGTGCAGAAGACATTCACACTTTTCCTCCATGGCTGTATGATGGTGATTGGTGAAGCAATGAAGCTGACCAGACATAAGATCGCAAATTTGAAAGTACGAAACATAAGAATAGTTGGCACTACAACTCATACCTAAACAATACGCAACTTGTATGAAACCAGCTTTAGGGTTGGCAAGACTGCAAATTTTGATTTACCTAGAGGCAAGGATGCTTGACAAGGTGATCTTAGACGTCCTAGGATAAGTTTGGAAACGGGATGAACCATTCGATGCCTTTAGGGCTTTACCAAGTTTCGCGGCGTTACGTGGATCGTTTTTTCCATACACGATCAGTACCCATCTACTTTTGGAGTTTTCGGTCTCAATCCGTCCCCCCCCGCCCCGCCCCCTCCCCCCCCCCACCCCATTCAAAAACCCGTGGCGCCGCCCCTGCCGAGAACTGTAATAATATTGGGCTTTTTCGTTTGCTGGCATTCGAGGGCCGCACCTCCGAACATCAACGCATTCTGATTTAATTGAGATAGTTTCATGTTTGCAATTTGCATTGACTGTTTAAAATCAAAGGTAACTCTATTTACTTTACCCGTTCTGCTTTCAATTGTATTAGTCAATTTTCACAGAAACATGTTTTTATTTAGTAGTTGACTTTTTTTCTTTCAGCGACATATACACCGCATCGCACCACAAATGCCGACTGTACATATTGATAGGTAACAAAGGCTGTAGTAGACTGCGGTTCTTTTTCGCCTGGGATTCGCTGCAGGTGAGTCGCGTAATGGGTGTTAATTGCGCTTGTTGTTTTCAAGGGTGAATAAGGTTACGTGGCTTATGCCTGTTCATAACTTAACTTGTATTTCCTTTAGGTTATTGTTATGTTCGTCGCTCACGTTTTATTCATCCCCTGAATGACAGTTGGGGAAACTACGAGGAGCCAAACAAAAATTGGATCAGCCAATCAACGGCTGGAGTGGGCGAGGCGATGACCATATATGGTCATAAAATCAGACAACTTCATCTTTCAATGCGTCCTAGCATTCAAATGAAAAAGTAAGGCATAAAAATGTTTTTTTTAACCACACAAGGCCTACACTCACTCGGTGCTCAATTAACTGGCGCCTCTAAATTGCAGTTACAACACAAGGCCAAACAGTGATTGGCAAATATGGCGGATTGAAACTGACTTCAAAAAATGTAAGCAGTACCGTGGTTTAAAAATGTCAATTTTTATGATTTTGTTTATGGTTTTTCTAATTGTGGTTTGGGTTAAGTTATTATTTTAAAATTAATATCTTTGTTTATTGCAATTAGATAAAATTTTATCAATTTTCTTTCAAAACAACAATCCATTTATTGAATGGCCAGCTGATTGTGACACCCAGAACCTGCAGAAAGGCCATTTTCCTATCGCCATTATCGAGTCAATTTGCCGAATTTAATCAAATCACGCTAATTCCTAGTGGAAAATGGAAGCCTTTTCTTTGTGATAAGTGGACACGATACCGCAAGTACCGGCTTGTTATACCAATATCGTTTTTCACCCTTAGTAGCGGGGGCGGTATTAGTATATGTTAGGTCCGAGTGGACAATTGTGACGCTGTTGATACAAATATGTACCAGCAAAAAATTTAGGTTTTAGGTTAGGTTAGGTTGTAGGTTTGTAGGTTTTAGGTTTTAGGTTGGTAGGTTTGTAGGTTAGGCTAAGTTAGGTTGTAGGTTTGTAGGTTGTAGGCTGGTAGGTTGTAGGTAAATAGGTAAGGTTAGGTCAGGTTTGATTATGTTTTTTCTCTTATTTCCAAGACATATAAGTATCATTTTTGGATTCAGGATGTCAAATAATGTAAGAATATGAAAACTTTATCTTTAAACAGTCACTCGGACTCAATGTATACTTTTACCGCGGGGGCTGCATTTATGCCCATATAAGGTCATCAAAAGTCCATTAATTGACCAATCAATTTTTGGATGTTCACCTCATAGTTTCCCCAACTGAGAATGCGTTTACCCACGTTGCTGGCTGCGTCATACCACCAGTATAACGCCTTTTGGGGCGACTAACGGAGCGAGCGAGAGGGTGGGCCTTGCACGTGCGAAATTGCGAGGGGTACCTCCAACTGACTTGTGCACGGCACCCTACTAACTGGTCTCTAGCGATGTGCCAAATTTGGGCACAATCGGCCCAGCCGTTCTCGAGATCTGGAAGCGGCACCCTGCACGTGCGCACGTGCAAAATGGGTCCCAACTGACTTGTGCACGGCACCCTATTAACCGGTCCCTAACCGTGCACCAAATTTGAGCACAATCGGTCCAGCCGTTCCCGAGATCTGGAAACGACCCCTGCACGTGCGCACGTGCAGCAGCACCCCAACTCTGGCACATGTATATGCAGTGCCTAGTGGGTGCCTACCTACATGCCAACTTTCAGCACAATCGGCCAAGTAGTTACCGAGATATTGCAACAATTACAAAACTGACACCTCTTCGTTTTGCACGTGGCACGTGCATAAGGGGTCACCCACATGCATCGGGAATAGTCCAATACTTGGTAGAAGGAATGAAGCTACCCTACAAAAATTACCGCGTGTAAATCGGTCAAGTGGTTGCTGAGATATAAGCCTCGCAAAAGCGTGACCACGGCCGGCCGCTCATACTCAGAAATTTCCGTTAATCTAAGGAAAGACTACGCTCGCTTCGCTCGCTCCGTAATTATTGATATTTTTAATGAAATGATTTGGAAGGAAACTAATCCAATCTGCACAAGATGTGCCAGTTGCTTGCCAGCAGTTATACTGTTACTGCGCCATTGAAATAGCTGATCAATCAACAAACCTTAGCCTTACAGACAAAAAAAAAACTTGTGGCCACTTGGGAGGAGTTGGCCTGACAGTGCATATTTGGAGACCATATTACTGTATGCCTGGCCTATTCAAATACATTAGCCAGAGGGGTGTGGTAATAACTGGTGTAAGCAAATTGACCACGGTCAAAAATGCATTACCAGAATGCACTTAAGCCAGCATTTTGGGATGGTCTCGTTCCTAAGTCGGCTAAGAGCTTCGGTCCAGAAAATAAATTTATCGTTGGCATACAGTAAAATACATACCAAACTCGGCCGGTGATAAATTTTCAAGACCTCAGTCCTTACTGATTTTTGAACTCGGCCTTCGGCCTCGTTCAAAAATCCAGTAAGGACCTCGGTCTTGAAAATTTATTTACACCGGCCTCGTTCAGTATTATATAACACCAATTCTAGCACCTTTAAATATTATTTATGATTCTTGTAGGCTGTAGCTTGCAAATTTTAGGAATCTGTAGGCTATGATTTTTAATATGTATTATTTGCATTCAGTGACGCCCATTGCTGCAAGCCCTGAGGCCTGAGGGCACCTGTCCAGAATGGCCACCTAAAACTGCTGGGTGATACATAATAGTTTTTGTCTTGTAACTTTTCACATGTGGCTTGTTAACTTTGCAGTGGACTTACAGATTAAGATACTGGCATTTGGCATTTTTGTGTTGTTCAAACTCAGTTGGTTACTTCAATTTACCAGGAAAATAAGCTAAAATTGGAGCACTCAATTTTATGATCCTGTGACAGCACTGCCTCCCATAGAGTCCTGTATAAAGGATCTAAAAATGACACCATTTTGGTACCCTTCTCATGAAAACTGCTTGGACTGCCTGAAAACTAATAGTTCCACCCTGGAAATGTTGTGATTGATGGACAAATGAACAAGGAAAAGATTGGTCCTGAAATAATGCTCAACTTCCTGTAGAACATGCTGAAATATGACTCCAAACTATGAGGATATGTTGATTAAGAAAACAATATAAACAAGCTTACCATGATGATTAATTTTTATAAATACAGCTCCATATAAAATCGTCCTATCTTTCTGAAGTACAATCTTTTGTTTAAAAAATAACTAATTACAAAATTAATTTGCGAGAAAAATAGTTCTGCCTGAGCAGCAGGATCAGCATTATTTTTAGCCTATCAGGTGATAGGAGGATCTATATTTGACTCTGGTGGCAAAATAGGATCAATATTTAGCTTATGTTTAGGACTGATTTCTTCGCTGGAGAAACATTTTCATTTTATTTTTACTGCTCTATGATAATATTTGACAATTTCTCTTTCTGTTGATACCATTCACTGCCCACTGGTCTGAGAAGTGTTGCCTTGCTGTATAAGGGCTGATAAAAGATTACACTTTTAGGGGTATCTCTTCAACATGGGACAGGACCACAGGGAGCACTGCCGCTTCAACCCTATTGGCCGTAGTGTCTAACGGTGGCGGCCATATTGCGCAGACCAGGAACCGGCTGCCGCCTGTGTTGAGGAATAGGGAATTCGGGACCTCGATTTACGTTTGCGGCCGCCGTATCCGTTACGATCAAGTTACGTAGATACGGAGCCCGGCATCTTACGCAGAATTGAGTGGGGAATACGATCGTATCTTCAGAATTCCTCAAATTCACTCGCCGGACCTACATTTGCCCCGGCCGAGGGGATTGATTGAACCCACCTCGCTAATGCGCCGCTAATTCAACTAGAATTAAGCGGTAAAGTGGTCGTATGCGGCAAAGTATAATGCAGAGTGACTGGTAGGAACCCGCTTTCAAGGTCTCAGGTCAACCGGTGACCTCTGAGGTCAGTTCAAGTGATCTAAGGCACGGGTTCGGTTTTGGTAAATAACTTCGCCAAAAATGGCCGTAGAGCCCCGATTTTAGCATCATCGTGTTCAGCTATTTCAGGCGCATCGAGTGATATGCTTTTTATTCGGGTCAGGTCAACTTAGGGTGTTGACCTCAGGTCAAGGTCAGGTCAGCACCCCCAGGTCACGAAGTTGGTCGAAAGAGGTCATGTCGCATATCATTCGATTCGGCAGGTCTTCCTGAGTCCATTGGTGGCTTTCCCGACTCGCTAGCTCAATTTGATCGGGAGTTATTGAAGAAAAATTGTGACCCTTGTGACGTCACAAATGACGGGCAACAATGCAAACATGAAGCATAGAACCTTGCAAGGAGTGCATGAAATCATGATTCTATATGCTTGAGATAGTTTCAGATCATTCTCGGCGCCAAAATAGCAATTTTCATATTTCCCCATTGACTTATAAGGGTTTAACGTATTAGTTCCTTGTATCTGAGGATTTTTTAGGATTTCATCTTGTTCTCCACTCAATTCTGCGTAAGATGCCGGGTTCCGTGTCCACATAACTTGAACGTAACGGATGCAGTGACCGCAAACGTAAATCGAGGTCCCGAATTCCCTATTCCCCAACACGGGCGGCGGCCGCTTCCTGGTCTGCGCAACATGGCGGCACCGTTGGACACCATCTGGCGGCCGATGCGCCTTCCACATTATGGAGTTCAGTGGACAGGACCATTAAATAGAGGGCTCTAATTTTAGCTTATTTCCCTGGTAAGTCACCAACTGAACTGGCCTTCAATCACTAATGGACTCATTTCCACCAGCATTTCTTAAATGAATAACATGCGCACCGAGCAGGCCCCTGAGATCTCGAGAACGAAGCAAGATAGCGACAAGCGGTAAACGGCATCGGATACGCACGGTCAAGGTCTACAATTTTTACTAAGGTCATTTTCAGGTCAGGTCAAAGATGGCGTCACAGGGATCGAAAAAGTCTAAATGGCGGCGCTAGATATGGAGAGTTTTTCTCGAATAACTTTCGAATTAGTCAAGATAGGAACAAACTAAGGGCATCATCGTGATCCTCTCGTCAATCCGCATCGAATGATATATATGTTGACCTCGAAAGGTCAAGGTCAAAGGTTGACCTCAGGTCACGTGACCTCGAGGTCATCATGTAAATCATTCGATGCGTCTTGACGAGCTGAACACAATGAGACCATCCGCGCGGCTGTATCTTGTTCCTGTACGGAGTTATTGGCAAAAAAACCTTTGGTGACCTTTGATGACGTCACATGACCTTACAGCTGCCCAACAGCAAAACAGACCTCAAGGTAGTGAAGGTTGATCGTATATAAAGTCATGTATGGTATATGGGGCCATTCCGACCCGTTTTAGTGGTAAAAACAGGGAGTTGATTTTTCCCCCATTGACTTATAATGGGGAGGTCGCGAAATTGACCTGACCTTAGGTCACCGATATCAAAATTCCGAGATATACAAATTGTAGCTACTAATGACCTAATACCATCCTGCGACTTTCAAAGGCCCTCGACATCTACTGTAGCTCTGGCACGGTGACAAAGTTGCAAAAAAGTGACTTGAGGTTGGGTCATTCAAAGTGACCTGGTGACCTGACCTTAAAAGTTAGGAGGTTCAAACATGCACACCATGTGTAAAATTGATGAGGGAATAGTCGTACCAAATTTCGCGGCGCTACGCGCCGCGGTTTTCCCGCTATTCACGAAAAACCTCAGGGGGGAGGGCGGATATCCGCCCCCATCCGCCCCCCGTCGGTGCGCGTGTTAAAGGTAGTGTGCCAGCTTTCTTGGACCATATGGAGTTTATGACCCGGATAAGGAGAACCGGATTTTTAGAACTTATCCATACCTTCAAAACTCATGGAAACGTCTTAAATTCTTCAAATTTTGAGTACCCCAGTGCGAAATTCGCCCCGACGGGTTGTCGGTCGTACCCCAACCACATTTAACACCACTATGAACAATAAATGCACACACTAAAATCGCTATTACCGATAGGCTCATCCAATCAAGTTTCGATAAACCCGTTCATCATCATCTCCTGCGGTTTCGAACACGCCTGTTAGGTGGCTTCTGATGCTCGTCGAGGTCGGAATTTCCAAATACGCGTGGTGCGTCGGGCCGCGCGCTCTGACTTCGGCCAAGAAAAATGCGTCAGCTGATCATTGTCATTTCTGCCACTTGCGTGTGGTGAAATGGGGTCATAACTTAAGAGACGGCTGTTTCATATCAATTATTTTACATAAAATCATATTTCAAACCATAAATTAATGTTCGACAGCCAAATTAAAGAAACAATACCAATACAGGCTTACAGTTTAAGTTCGACATTGTGTTTTCTACGATTAGACAGCTGATAACTCATTCCCGTACGTCGTAACTCTATAATGACCTTTGCTTTTTGTCACATGTGCGCCGCATTCGCGATTGTTGCCGACGCCTGTTTGCAGGTCAGCCCACTACAGTTGTTATACATATCGAAAAACCGATAAACTTTTAGGCGAAAAAGGCACTATTCCATGCCCATTTTTGATTTTTTTTCGATATTAGGTAAAAACAGAAGCTTCTTATCCTAGGAAAAATAAAATGGGAAATCATTGGAAGGTGGCACACTACCTTTAATGCATGTGAAAATGCTTTATAAATGAATGAATCAAGGGCCAAGGCTCATTTAATGAATTTAAGTTGAATATGCTATGATAATTAATAATATTGGCTGTTATGATGCAATGTTCTAGAATTGCTCCAAGGCCCCTGGGGCAAAGATAGTGGAAAATTTAGACTGAAAAGGTGAAAGGTTGGAAAATCAAGCTTGAAAATACATTCCTCTTAATGTCAAACTTAACCCTCGCCGGACCTATTGGTTTTCTACCAGGGACGTATCCAAGGGGGGGGGGGCGACGGGGACGGTCGCCCCTCCCTGGGCCCTGCCGGGCCCCAAAAGAGGGCCCGGCAGGGCCCGTTGCCGGGCCCGTTAGGGCTTAGGCAGCCCGAAAGCGGGTCGGAAGAGCCCGCTTTTGGTCTATCCAGGGACAGTTTGGGGCCGGCAGAACCAAAAAGCGGAAGGGCCTGTTCAGAAGGATTTGTTCGAGCCTTCGGGTTCAGTGATGTGCCGGGCCATAAACGGGTCCGTAACTGGGTCCTTCGGCTCCACTTTTGGGCAGAACCAGGGCAATTTGGAGCCCGGCAGGGCCCCAAAAGCGGAAGGATCCGTTCAGAAGTCACTTGCACACCATGTGTAAAATTGATGAGGGAAAAGTCATGCCAAATTTCGCTACGCTACTCCCGCGATTTTTCCGCTATCCGCGAAAAACCTCAGGGGGGGAGGGCGGTTAACCGCCCCCTCCGTCGGTGCGCGGGTTAAAAAGGGAACATTTGCAACGGTCATTCACATTGGAGCCATGTAACAGAAATAAACCGTCTTTAAAGTGACTATCCCACCTCAACATAAGTTTTGAGCTAAGATAGCCAAATTGGGGTCCCGGACTCGCACTTACCGGTTTGGGCACTCACAACATCGAGAAAGGCTTTAATTCGGAGATATTTAATTTCAAAATTGCAGCACTTAGGATTCAGACTTTCAGAGCGGCTAATGCATTTGAATACCCCCCCTGAATTTGTGACGTCAGCGCAGATCTAGCGATTTAAAACCTTATACTGACATCTTTGTGAAGCAGTGGTGGTGTATGCTATTTGCGCGCAACATCTGCCGCAAGTGCCGCACTTTTCAAGATACCAAATTATTGCTTCCAAATGATGTCGTAGGAAGGAACAGCGAAGGCTCCGAAAAATAACCAAAAGTAATTGCCTAATATCTCAAAAAAGCGGTTTATGTTTTTCAATGAAACTTGGTAGATATTCATTTTTGTTCAATCTGAACAATGCTACAGTCGACGCCACTTTGATGCCAGTTCATTTTTTTTTTTTTTTTTTTGAAGGTGGGAGGGTCCATTTAAAAGCAAGGCTATGTAAACCTTTAAATAATACTGATGCTGGTCACTTCGACCGTACACAAAGAAGACCTCAGGTACATACTTCAGCAGCTCAGTTACATCCACCAGGTCTGAAGTTCGGTCCGAAAATCTCGGGGTGGAGTGACAGCTGCATAAGCCAGACATTTTAGAGCATTCACAATACTCAAGTAATACCCTCACTCTCAAACGGCCATCCTCCAGTGCTAGCCAAAGCGACAGTCGAAGGAGCTCACCATGGCCTGAGAAGGACCTGGTGCTGGTGTGAGAGGACCTCGAGACGTCCAAGAGGTATGAGACGGTCCAAGAGATACTCAGTGTGGGACGTGGGCCTATATTGGTCTGACCCCTATACAACCGCCATCCACCTGTCCACCAGCCACCACGACCAACAGAACCCAGCTCTTATCCCACTCGTCCTCGGGAAACTGCTGTTTTTATATCGTCATCCACGGATTCCACGTGTGCCGACGCCATATACTTCAGGTCAAAACAGGCTTCATATATTTCGACCAGGGCACTAAAATTTCGATTAACCAGTTAAGAGCATGATTTCAGGGCAGAGAATATCGACCCCGACTTCGGAGTCGAAGTCTGTGACTCCAGAAAACGATTTCGGTGCAGTGTCACAAAATTATTTTAATGCTTCAGTGTTAGAGGGGAAAATTCCTCACCAAAAAAGGGATGAGGGTGGTATGTTCTTGATAAGATTAGCCCCCCCCCCCCCCGAATATAAAGAACAGAGGAAGGAAAGTTTGCACACTTTTCTGTACAATGGTAGAATATGATGCGATCATGCAAGCAGATGCTCTTTTATGTGTGGTAAATTTCTCTTGAAAGTTGGAGGTCTGAGTGGAAAATTATTTTCATTTGGGTGCCTTGTTCCACCCATATTGACAAATTTCGGTGACACTGTTTCGGTGACGCCAGCTCCGACTCTGGCCAGAACTTCAGTTCTCTGACCGACTCCGCGGCTCGGACCCCGCAGTCCTCAGTCACACTACACAAAATAACTTCTAGGAAATCAGTTATACGGTTAACCCTCGCCCGTATTGGTGTTTTGCCAGCCGCGAACGTATAAGGGGGGGGGGGGTCCGTTGGACCCTCCCCTTGCCGTCTCGCCCCTGATCAAGCTAGAGGTTTGCGGAAAAAACGAGCGTGTTGCCCTGATGAGAGGAAGCCGATGGTACCCAATTTTAAGGTTCTAGGTCATCGGTTGACCTTCCAGGTCAGATCAATGACCCAAAAGTCGGGAAAGTCGGGACCTGTTAGAACGTCGTAATTTGTGGTTGCTATGAGGTTTTTCGGGGTGCTGATCGCGAATGTCATGTTAGTTTTGATCACAAATGATGTATTTATGCATTTAGGCCAGGTCGGGTCTGGTCAGGTCAGGTCAACCAGTACTGCGAATACCTATCGGGTATTCGCAGTGCGTGTCAACCGCCTCTGACAGCTTTGTTGCATGTTACGAAGGCACCAAAACTACTTCCTAAATGTTCATATGGTTGCTAAATTCGAATTCAGCTCCAAAAACTAGCCTAGCAACATGTAAAACTCGAAAAAGTCGACCGATGTCATCAAAGTTCAATGACCTGATCTGACCTTCAGGTGACCTTGGCATCCACCCTAATGCATGGGGGATCATCAAATCACATGTTTGAACGCTTGAAACCACGAAAAGACTGCAGACGCGCGGCTAATGCGAGCCGACATACTCCGAATCGCGATTCCGGCCAAATATGGTCTCGAAAAGTAGGTCACAGGTCAAAGGTCATTTGGGTCAGGATCATGAAATTTTCAGGGTAGGTGTAAAATAGATCAACGCGAGGGTACTGAAGTTTCGTTGCGCTCGGCCGCTTTTTACGCGAGATATTTGCAAGAAACCTTAGTGGGGGGGAGGGGGCTGCATCAATCCCCCTGTGCCGGCGAGGGTGAACATTGCAGAATAAGACGTCACTTTTACTTCATTTCGGGCTGACCAGTCACAGGCTCTGTCCTCTGAATGGTTTTCGGTTAGCATGTGTAGAATGGATGGGGGAAGTGGTGCTGGAAATTTGCCAGATACTGCTGAAAACAAGGGGAGAGTAGCTCCCTTTTCGGCGCGTGGGTTGATTGCTGAGCAAATGATTGAACAGATCATATGAATGGATAGCTGGTTTAGAGTTATACAATATGATGGGCTTGCTGTTGTTTTACAGGCCGTCCCTGGTGCCGCCGGAGTTAGACCATGGCCCTGCTCAACTCATCTCGCCGACTAGGCCTGAGCCTGCGGAGCGTGGCGACGCCGGCGGCGGCGCGATGCAGCTCCTGGTGGAGTAACGTCGAGATGGGGCCGCCGGACGCCATCCTCGGCGTCACGGAGGCCTTTAAGCGCGACACCAACCCAAAAAAGATCAACCTGGGCGTCGGCGCCTACCGTGACGATAACGGCAAGCCGTTTGTGTTGCCGAGCGTGCGCACCGCCGAGAAGGAGCTGGTGGAGGCCATGATGGACAAGGAGTACGCCGGCATCACGGGCCTGCCCGACTTCTGCACCATGGCCGCCAACCTGGCGCTGGGCGAGGGCAACCGCTGGGTGCAGGACGGGCTCAACGTCACCACCCAGTGCATCTCGGGCACGGGCTCGCTGCGCGTCGGCGCCGAGTTCTTCTCAAAGTTCTTCACCGGCCCCAAGGTCGTGTGGCTGCCCACCCCCACGTGGGGTAACCACATTCCCATCTTCAAGCACGCCGGCATGGAGGTGCAGCATTACCGCTACTACGACCCCAGCACGTGTGGCTTCGACTTCGAGGGCGCCATGCAGGACATCGCTAAGATGCCGGAACGCTCACTCATCATGTTGCACGCCTGCGCGCACAACCCGACCGGAGTCGACCCGCGGCCCGAGCAGTGGAAGGAGATGTCCAGCCTCATCCGCAAAAAGAACATCTTCCCCTACTTCGACATGGCGTACCAGGGCTTCGCGTCGGGCGACTGCGAACGGGACGCGCAGGCCGTGCGCCAGTTCCTTGACGATGGCCACTGCATCGCGCTGTCGCAGTCGTTCGCCAAGAACATGGGCCTGTACGGCGAGCGTGCCGGCGCCTTCAGCCTGATCTGCTCGGACAAGGAGGAGGCGGCGCGGGTCATGTCCCAGGTGAAGATCCTCATCCGGCCGATGTACTCCAACCCGCCCATCCACGGCGCGCGCATCGTCAGCAAGATCCTGGGCACGCCGGCGCTGAAGCAGCAGTGGCTGGGCGACGTCAAACTCATGGCCGACCGCATCATCGGCATGCGCACCAGGCTGCGCGACGGTCTGGCGCGCGAGGGCAGCACGCGCAACTGGCAGCACATCACCGACCAGATCGGCATGTTCTGTTTCACGGGCATGAAGCCGGACCAGGTGGGGCGGCTGACAAGCGAGTTCAGCGTCTACCTGACCAAGGACGGCCGCATCTCCATGGCCGGCGTCACGTCCGGCAACGTCGACTACCTGGCGCACGCCATGCACCAGGTGACCAAGTAGGACGGCCGCAGCACCGGCAGGTTGGTAGGTGCGAGCGACGAGAGGTGCTCAGGTGGCGGCCGCTGCGACAGCGCGCTGCGTTGTTATAAATGTCGCTGATGGATGCGGTGACGGTCTCTGTGATGCAGTGACGGCCCCTGCGACCCAGTAACTGTCTTGATAACAGTGACGGTCTGTGTGACATAGTGACCGTTTCTGTGACGCAGTGACGGTACCTGTGACACAATGACGGTTTCTGTTACGCAGTGACGCTCTACAGTCTACGCTGCCAGACTAGTTTATTTTACGGATGTGGCACGATGGGATTTCCACGACGGAGAGTCTGTCAACGCGAATGTCTCTGCTTTTTTAAAGCAAATAGGGTTTTCTCTTGGCAGTGAAAAGTGTGTTATTTGGAGGTATTTCTGTGTAAAGGAGGATGATTGTAGAATACATTACGATTGGCGCGGTGTAATTGCTGCGTTTTTAGCTTGTCTTGTTCTTGATAAGGTAGCGTACGCTAAACAAGGGAGATGAAAATGCTGCATTGGGCCGATATATTGAGTACCTTCAAATACACGACACCTACAAAGTTTACTGACCATGACAGCACTCGCACTTTATTTATATGTACAGGTACTATGTTGACCGACACAGCCTTCTACCACTGCTCTGCAGTCACTCTGGAGTAGTGCGCTGCAGCCACACTACCTGCAGCCGCTCGGCTGCTGCCGTCCGTGCCCATCCCGTTCCGAGCCGGTGACTCCGCCGCGTGCCGTCCGCTCTGGCTGCCGCAGCGCGCCGCGCCGGCCCGGTACTTTTCCCTTCCCAGTGGAGGTGCCCCTCTACGCTGTGTCCCCGGCTCATTTAAATCGCGCACATGGACCCGACAGCTGCTCGTGGTGGTACACATTTACAAGTGTTGCAGCCGCTGCGATCTGCAATTGCATACAGCGCGGCCGGGTCGGCGGCGGCGCCGTTAGCCGTGGACGTCGCGCTCAGTGTGGCTGGCGGCGGGCCGACCCGGTGGGCACGGGCCCGCCGCGTGGACGCCCGACGCCCGACGGCCTCCCCGCCACGCCAGCTATAGTTAGAAGCCCCGTCTCGAGGCGGCCCGCACGGCTCGACAGCAGACGCACCAATCGGGCGACGAAAAAAAAGGGCGTCACGGGATGCCAAGCCGGGAAGGGCACTCGATAGATAATGATAACAGCTCTGAAAGAATGTCGTGCTGTAACATAACTAGCATCGTATATGAACGTCCCAAGCAAATGTTACAACGGTATGCAAAAGTAACTGCAAGTTTTATGCTGTGATGTTTGATGTTGGTAAACCTTCACACCTACCAATTTAACTCGTCGCCCCTGACCGCTGGGCGCTGGGGCTCCTTGATTCATTCCACTCATTCCCACTCCCGACGGACCCTGAGTTCCTACTTATAAGTACTGCCTGTTCAGCTCCTGGGCCCAATCTTAGAAATGTCGCAAAATGGGCTTAGCAGAGAGCAGTGAATGCCGCGATGATCATCTAGCAGGTGACAAAGGACATAGCTTCATCGATTTTCAGGGCTACCGAATGACGTGGCACAGGTCAGGAGTCAGGTCAAAGAAGTTAGTTTGCAACTTTTTCTTATTTCATGTACCTATACTGTATAGTGAAGATAGGTAACAGATGTGTTTTTGCAATTTTTATTTTTTGCCGTCAGCTGGTTCAGCTGTCCCGTTTCAGTTATCACAGGTTCTGAATCATGGAACCATAAGTAGTATAAAGGCAGTATATACCAGTTACACAATCCACGGGTGTCGGGAAACAAGCACACGAAGTACGAACACTAGCACAGTAGTTTGTCAATTGTAAAGGCTTTTCCTACTGACACCTCCGGAAGAAATATATGGAAGCACTTTTCCTTCTTTCTAAAATTTGGTAGCGGTGCTTTTACGACGCAGATGTTTCGTAACCTACGCATGTTGAGCGCAAGTATGTTTTAGGGCCTTGAGCGCAAGGCATGTTTTTTAAGAACGCAAGGCCCTGTGATACAATTACTTGATAATTACGTACATTACTAATCAATCAGTCACTAATCGGTTTTGGTAATTTTTCACTGCTGTCGAGGTACCTATCTTTATTGACATTGTATACTTTTATTTGATATTCTTCTATGTACCGCCAGACTGCAAAGTATGGCACGCAGGTCGACGAGGCGCACCGGCCCAAGTTCAAAATCCGCACCAACCCTTCAAACTGAGCCGGAAAATCCGCACCAAAGCGGGCTGAGAGCCCCAAAAATCCGCACCAGCACCGAACCCACAGGCAATTATAATGCAAGAGACTTTATTCATCTCACTATAATTATTTCCCGTCCAGTTTCAGTTTCACTTACCGCTTGAGCAACGCTCACCACGGGACCGCGCCGCGCACTTGTACCGTAAGTTTGAAATAGAGTAAATAGACGGACGCCGATGAAAATAGGGCGCCGGAGGGCATATTGGGTCATGTGACATTCGGAACTTCTCCCCCTCTGTGGGCCTTCTACATGCTAAATGTCACGTGTGAATTTCACGAGCCTTGATCAAATAGCCCCAACAAACTTTCGTATGAGTGAAACCAATGACGTCATTCCCAAGTAGCGTGCTGATTGGCAATCCAAACCAGCTGCTCGCTAATGTGACATATACCAGTCACCACCGCAACCAGTCTTCGTTCTAATGACGTCGTCATCACGATAATTCCTGAGGCGAGAATGGATTTGTTCTGCCGCAATTGTTAGTTCGTTGAGTAAATTTAAAACCTTGGTCCGTAACCGTGCGTCACCGTGGCAGACACGCATTTGTAGGGCTTTCCAAAGAACAGTCAACAAGGGAACCCGGCCGGGTAAGAAGACCACGCGAAGTCCGCAGTCCGCACCGCACCAAGGTCCAAGCGTTGGTCCAAGCCAAATCCGCACAGCACCAGGCCAGATCCGCACCGCACCACTCCAAAATCCGCACCAGCCGAACAAGCCCGCACCGACGAGATCTCGTCGAAATTGCCATACTTTGCAGTCTGGATGTACCGTGATTCGATGCTCCAGTTGAGCTGAGCCTGGCCAGTTTGAGTTGAGACAACAATACCATACCAACCACACATTTGCATTTTTGGCAAGCCACGTTCTAACTTCTACCCCTACTTTGACCTGTCAAGCAAATGTGGGATACAAACTGAGCAATGCTGAGCAACCAGTAGCCAGCCATATTTACCTCAGTATCAGTTCATAATGTTATATTGATCTGGATGTGAAATCAGAATTACCATCATCTAAGATTCCGGCACTTCTGGAACGTTTCATTCTGACAGCGATCCATCTGGATTGAATCACTCATCACAAGGTAAGAACTTCAATGTTGAATTCTGCAGCATGTGTTCTGGTAAGATGGCATGATTGTTCTTATCAATAAATCTATCAAATCCCATGTTTGGAAGCATATAGATTCACATGTTACATGGGGTTATTAAATTGTGTCCGACCTTCAAGGTATGTAGAATTGTAGACAGTAGGTACCTAAGTGGCATTTCTGTCTCTGAATTGTTGTGTCCCATCATCCCATTTTGAAGAGAGCTATTTTGGGCACATTCTCCCCATGGACCCCCCATAGTTTTTCGCGAATAACTCGCGTAAAAAGCGGCCGATCGCGACGATACTTTCAGTACCCTCGCGTTTATCAATTATACACCTTGACCTACCCTGAAAATTTCATGACCTTGACCCAAATGACCTTTGACTTATGACCTACTTTTCGAGACCATGTTTGGTCGTAATCGCGATTCGGCGTATGTCGGCTCGCATTAGCCGCGCGTTTGCAGTCTTCTCGTGGTTTCAAGCGTTCAAACATGTGATATGATGTTGCCCCCATGCATTAGGGTGGTTGTCAAGGTCACCTGAAGGTCAGGTCAGGTCATTGACCTTTGATGACCTTGGTGCACTTTTTCGAGTTTTACATGTTTCCAGGCCAGTTTTTGGAGCTGAATTCGAATTTAGCAACCATATGAACATTTACGAAGTAGTTTTGGTCCCTTCGTAACATGTTACGAAGCTGTCGGAGGCGGTTGACACCTACTAGGAATACCCGGCAGGACCCCTACTGGTTGACCTGACCTGACCTGACCCGACCTGGACTAAATGCATGAAAACATCATCTGTGATCAAAACTAACATGATATTCGTGATCAGCACCCCGAAAAACCCCACAGAAGCCACGCTTTACGACGTTCTAACAGGTCCCGATTTTCCCGACTTTTGGGTCATTGACCTGACCTGCAAGGTCAACCAATGACCTAGGACCTTAAAATTGGATATCATCGGCTTTCTCTCGTCACGGGCAACACACTCGTTTTTTCCGCGAAGCTCTAGCTCGATCAGGGGCGAAACGGCAAGGGGGGGTCCAACGGACCCCCTCCCCCCCGCATACGTTCGCGGCTGGAAAAACACCAATACGGGCGAGGGTTAAAGGTAAATAAATGTACCTAGTTGAAAACATAGCATGCAACATTCTCTGTTCATTGTTTCTTTCAGCAATTTCCACCCACCCAGCTATTTGGGTAAACTATGTATGAACTCAACATTTGCTGTAAGAGTTATGATTTTTGGGAACCATTCTCATGATAAAGAATAGATGGATGGCCGATGCGTCAACAAATAAATCAAGCCCATATTAATAGATATAATGGATTGCAAGCTGTCCCGTTGTCGGGCATTGGCCATTGGGCAGGAGTCGCAGCCGGCATGCTGTGCTCACATACTATTGCACGTCTTCTCTACGTGGCCCTGCGCTCGAAGTTACATAGTTGCAAAGTGCCTGCAGACACTGAAGTCATGAGCCGCAAGACACGGGCAGGCCGGGGCGCGGGCGCTGACCGCTCTCCTGTGGCCGTGTTGCAGACATGATCTCGCTGCTGGCTCGACTGGCGGCCGCGGCCCGGCCGGCGCTCTCCGGGTGCCCGGCGAGCGGCGTGCAGCGGCTGCTCGCGGCCGCGCCGTGCCCGCTGCTGCGGCGGGCGCCGGCGCTGCAGCAGGCCCCTCTGACGCCGCTGAGTGCCGCGGCCGCCGGCTGCCGCGCCATCTCGCTGGAGACCCTGCACCGGCGCCTGCAGAACCCCAAGCGGCGCATCAAGAAACGGCCGCTGGACGGCAACCCGCAGATGAAGGGCGTCGTACTCAAGACGCTCATCAAGAAGCCCAAGAAGCCCAACTCTGCGAACCGGCGCTGCTGCCTGGTGCGACTCAGCAACGGCAAGGAGATGATCGCCTACATCCCGGGCGAGGGCCACAACCTGCAGGAGCACAACATCGTCCTGGTGCGCGTCGGCCGGCTCCGGGACGTTCCCGGCGTCAAAATCAAGTGCATCCGCGGCAAGTACGACCTCTCGCACGTCGTCAAGAAGTCAAATGCGTGAATGGGGTCGCTCGAAGTCTGTTAGCGGTGTCAATGTAATGCGACTTTTTAATACAGTATATCTGTGTGGTTCGAGCGTTTAAGTCTGAGGTTAAATCCGCCATTTTAACTAATGAAATATGGCCCTATAGTGTAATACGATGCATCAAGAACGGTTCACGGCAGGCAACCAGGGTAGCTTATGCTTAGCCTAATTCCTGTGTGGCTAGCTTGCACGTTGCTTGACCTGCGTAGTTATTCAGTTCACCTGGCAACTGACGACTGTGGCGAAGGAAGACTCACGCTAGATCCAGGAGAACCGCGCCACCAATCGCCATCTACCTGTGATACGTTCAACTGCCAATGTCGAAGATACCGAGATATAATAAGTGAAGACTTGGGAGCTTACTACTATTTATCCAAGTTTGATGGCGCTACGGCTACGCCTACCGTTCCCTACGCTGCGCCGGTTGGGAGTCCGATCGTCACACTACGAGATGGGGTGTTTTTTTCATCCCCTGTTGCTAAGCTGAGCACATTCAAAGAAAACTTTTGCATTGCTCTAGCATGCATTCATCAAACGTTCTTGTCGAAAAACTTCTGGCGTCCTTCTCATGACTTAGCATGACATTGTAAATGTAAGGTGGGGTAACTGCCAACTGGTGCAATTATTCTGTCAAACATTTGATAGAAAAGTTATTGATGTTTTTAAGTTTAAAATGTTTTTTTACCGAAATAGGTGCAGTTTTATACACACTCTCTTATTGCCTTATGTCTGATGAAAAGTGTATTTAACCCGCGCCCCGCTGGGCTATTCAGCCATACGCGCCCTGCTGGGGGGGGGGGCAGATTCTGCCCCCCCTGTCTAACTTCCGAACCGATGGTCGTAGAAAGACGGGGAAAACGGCAATCGAAAGCTCTCAACAAGGCGGATCTTAAGAGCCCAATTTTTTTTGCTTAAGTAGGTCAGAGGTCAGGTCAAGGTCAGGTCAAGGGTACAAAATGCAAGTTTCTACAGTATCGGCCTTGCACCGTAGTTGCCGAAGAATGGACTGCGACTGATTGCCCAAAACGTGTTCTTAGACTACCAAGACAATATTCGTTGCACACAATGTCATTCAAAGGTCAAGGTCAAGGTCAGGTCAGGTCAGGTCACCAAAAACAAAATTTAGAAAAGGGCATATGCGACACATGTTTTATGGGTCATTTTACTCATAGAATTCAAAAGGCACACTCAATAGGTGATATGGACCACCTCTGGATGAAATTCAGGTCGAGGTCAGGTCAAGGTCAGGTCAAGTGAGGTCAAATTTTGAAGTTGGTTGTTAAGGCCTAAAAAGGTGTCTATCTGATGCAGTTTTTCACGGCGAATCGAATGGTGCTATTTTTGTTTCCGTACGAGGTCTAGAACTTCAAAAAAATCATTTTTCAAAATTTTTGTGTGTCGTGACGTCATAAAATTTTGAATAACTCCCACATTTTTGAACCGATTCTTCTAAAAATTGGTATGTAGGTGCACATAGACCACCCCAGTAAACATGACGACGTCGGCCCGACGTCGGGCCGAGGCTCGGCCCGACGTCGGCCCAACGTCGGTTCAACCTCGGCCCGACATCGGCTGCACGTCGGATATGCCCGCATGTTCCGACGTCCAGCCGAAGTCCAGCCGACTTCGAGCCGACGTCGGGCCGAGATCGTTTGCCGAGGTTGACGAGATCGTTTGTCGTTGGACCGACGGGGCCGACGTCGGCATGTTTATTGGGACAACGCGCCAAAAATATCAACCGGCGGCGGGATTCGAGCCCCCCAGTCGCCGACGTCGGCATGTTTACTGGGACAACACGCCAAAAACATCAGCCGGCGATGGGATTCGAACCCAGTGCCATTCGAACGCGAGATTAGTGCGCTAACCACTACACCACGCAGCCAGCTAACGAAACTGGTTTGTTTTGTTCGCTTATGCCCTTTCGGTCTGACAAGACCATTTCAGAGCCGGAAGGATCATAGGATGGAGACATTGGTCTTCTTGGCGAGCACCCTGGGTCCAGTTCATATAGAGTCCCTGGTCCCATTGCTGTTACGTGACACTTATTGGAAAGGGCGACCCCACAATGGATTCATTTAGCCACTCTTACACACCTGCACCAACGTTTCCCAAAGTGTCCCTTTGATAAGTGGCACTTTGGCAAAGTGACACTTGCCGACTGGCCTTCCGCCTTTCTATATGAACTGGGCCCGGCCCTGGTGAGTTGCCGGGGCTGAGCCTGACCAAAGGATAGGCCGAGCAGCCCCCAAGCACTCACCGCACCCGGCTACGGGCGAGCTCGGCTTACGGGCAATCCCAAATGGGATAAAGTTTCCCGTCCAGTCCGGATCAGGGGGTTGCGGCGTGGAGGAAGATTTGAGTTTCCTGAGGATATTTTGAATACAGAAGCTCTTTATGAAACATGAAACATGTATTTTATATTATTTTAACGGTCAAAACAGCGGCCGATGTCGGTCCGACGTCGCCCCGACGTCGGCCCGACGTCGGCTGGACCTCAGCAATTGATCTCGGTCCGACGTCGGCCCGACGTCGGCTGGACCTCGGCTGGACGTCGGAACATGCGGGCATATCCGACATCCAGCCGACGTCGTGCCGAGGTTGGACCGACGTCGGGCCGACGTCGGCATGCTGATGCCGAGTTGCCGACGTCACCCCGACGTCGGCCGACGTCGGGCCGACGTCGGCATGTTTACTGGGACCTCTCTGACATATATTCCGGTTTTTCGATACACTCAAAATTTTGGATTTTATAATTATTTTTCCAAAAAGTCAGTTTTTTGAGAAAAAAAAAATTTGGGCCAAAATCCAAAATTTTCAAAAAACCGAGATAGCCATTTGATAGACAAAGTAGAATCACGTATAACCTTTTTTGTTACGTCTTGATTCCTTTAAAAATGAAGATCTTAGCGGCGTTTGAAATTTTGCCGTTTTTTAAGCGAAAATGGCGAACATGACGTCACCAAAACGTCAATTTCTCAAAAATTTTCCGACGGATTTCGCTCAAATTTTCAGGGAACGTGTCAAATTGATGTATGATAAGGTACTGAAACTTTGACGTCGCTGGCGTAATGCGTTTAGAAGTTATTGGCAAAAAACGGGAGGGGGGCAGATTCTGCCCCCCCCCAGTGGGGCGCGGGTTAACCTTCCAGGCGGTGGGGGGGATTTTTTTGCCCCCCCTTTAGTTTTTTCGATATATCTCGAGAATCGCTGCGCCGATCGTCACCAAACTTTCAGTACCCTCCCGGGAGTAGCTAGCGCACATGGTGACCAAAATTTTTTCCAAAGGCTTTGATAGGTTGGCCGCTAATGACGTCAGAGTGACGTCATTTTTGCCATTTTCGACCCAAAAAAAGGTTTCGCGGGAAGAGCTGTCAGGCCTACAGCTTTAGAGAAAATGTTACAGACAAAAAAGGTGTGGAATCAAGAGGGCTACAAAACTGCTATTTCGGTTTTTCGAATTTTTTGGATTTTGACCCCCAATGATCAAAAAATAGGATTTTTGAATATAATAGCCAAAAAATCCAAAAAGTTTTTTGAATTTCGAAAAAAACCGGAATATATGTGATAGTCCCTACCGCCTTCTATCTACATACCAAATTTGAGATCAATACCTACCTCTTTTTTTTTGGCCAAGTTATAGCGAAAAAAATGTTCAAAATTGATGACGTCAAATTTTCAAACTCAATTTTTAGCAATTCCAGACCTCGTAGCGCAAAACAAAGACCACCATTAGACTCCCCGTGACGAGCTGCATCGAATCGATACCCATTTTATGCAAAAATATCAACTTTGAAATTTGACCTTTTTTGACCTGACCTTGACCTGACCTCCACCAAAAAGTGACCTAAACCGTACCTGATGGTCTTATAACTAATACCATTGAGTTGGAAATGAAAAACTGGCCATAAAACATGCATCGCACAACCTTAGTAAAGTTGGGTTCATGTGGTGACCCTTGGTGACCTTTGGTGACCTGACCTGTGACCTAACCTGGTATGACCAGTGACCTCTAATAGCAACATATGTACTAGACAACTGACGCCTTATCGCTGATTTTCGACAAAATGCGTTTTACTCGGTGTTATAGCGCTTTCCCTAGAAGCCCCGTGAACGGTGAAACATTTTATCTTTGACCTGACCTGTGACGTCATCGGTGACCCCGAGGTCAATGAAATTTGGTTTCCTTCGACAAATTTGACAGAGCTATCGAACGCCGTTTGAATTTTCCGGATCCGTCCAGTAGTTTCGGAGATACAGGGTGTTTCACAATAAACGTTACTTTTGATAAGCTTTTAAAATGACCTCAACTATTCGTATGCCCATAAATTCTATATTCATTTTGTTGCAAATTCCTTCGGGTTTTTTATCCTTACAAAAACTATGACGAATCAGCAACTGCATTCTTTATGTACGTGCAATGTCCACGCCATCAAAACGGGTCAATTCGCTGTTAAGCTTCAGGGTCCTTCACAATGAATGTTGCTTTTCAAACGACGATGTTTCAGTGACATGTATTGCATATGGCTCATGAGTATTACCACATGAGACAGCAGAACAGTAACTGATGAACATATTTCAGTTCAGCACCCTTCACGGGTTCTCCACTATGCCACCCTTCCGTCTGACTTTTTCAACCAGATTTTCTGGGATCGCCGTCCGGCCAAGAGGCGGGGCTGGTCTCGTGTTTCCAGTCTTCTGGAACCTTTCTACCACCCGTTTGAAAGACATTTTTGACGGAATATCCTTCCTCCTTTTAAAATGGCTACCGAAACTCCGTCGCACTGCAGTCAGACTCCGCAAAGCGCCGTAATGCATGACCACCCGCCTCATCATCTGTACACGGCGAATTGACCCGTTTTGACGGTGTTGGCATTGCACGTTCATATCAGTTGGCCGGTTGACCTCGACCCGGCCGGTCGTGCGGGGCGGCGGCGCGCGCGCGTGACCGGCTGCCAGTGTGGTGAGCGAGCCTGGCCGGCTATCAGTGTTTCCGTGTTGGTTTTGCGAGTGCTACGCGCCGCACACCAATCATGACCAAGAAACGTAAGACGCTGTCACCGCCCCAGGAAGGACAGAGTGATATTTGTGCAGATTTGAAGAGGTTTATTGTGGAGGAAAATGAGAAATGTGTCAAACAGATCGTGGACTCAAACAACAGGCGGTTAGAGGCGATAGAGGAGTCCTTAAACTTTGCGATGGACTCCCTCACGTCAGTGTCCAAGCGGCAGCGCGCAGCGGAGTCAGACATTACGCAACTGCAAAAGGAGACAGCTGACCTGCGGAGACGCCTGCAGCAGATAGAAGTCAGCGAGGACAGGCAGCAGCAGGACAAGCGACTCACCTGCTTGATCTTCTCCGGGCCGGCGCTGCAGCGCCTGACGAGCCGAGAGGACGCCGCGCGCCTCATCAAGTCGCTGGTGCAGCAGTACCTGCAGCACTCCCTGGATGGCTCCCAGGTGAAGGCGATGGTTCGCCTGAAGAACGGTAAAATACTTACCGAGTTTACCACAGCCACGCCCGGATCCGATCGTGACTTCTTGTTTCGAGCTAAGTCCCGGCTACGCGGTTCAGGACTGTATATAGCCGAGTCGCTCACACCCCGTCGGCAAGCTATGGTTGTGGAGCTACTGCAGCTCAAGAGGGAGGGTGTCGTCTTCTCCGTCTTTACCCGGTCCGGAGATGTGTTCGCGTGCCGGGAGCGTGACTCGGCCCCAATCCGGGTCAGTGACCTGGAGGCGGTGCGCCGGCTGGCCGGTGACCGCGCGCCCGACCTCCGCGCGCAGGGGCGCACCCAGGCGCGAGGCTCGGGAGGACAGCAGCCATCGACTCGGAGTGCGGAGGAGAGGGAGCTCGACGGAGGACAGAGGAGGGAGGAGGCAGTCTTCAGTCCTCGGGGCAGGATGGAGATGGACACGCGCAGCACTGGTGACGCCACGAACCCAAGCCGGCACGGCTCCTACTCTGGACCGGATCGCCCTAGCGAGGCGGCGAGCTCGGTCTCCCGCGACGTTGGCGGAGAGCGGATATCGCTCCTAGACTGCGCTCGTGAGTCGCCAATCCAGCTGGTGCAGTTGCAATCCAGTTCCCCGCCAATCGAAGAGGGAGTATCTGAGGCTGACGTCGAAGGCGGCGGCGTCCCGATCGTGCCCCGTGCGGGGCTTGGCGCCAGAGTCCGGTCAGCGTCGGTAGGTGCTCGACCGGTCGTGTCTGGCTCCCCCGGTTTCGGCGACCTGGCGGCGCCCGTGTCGGTGACCGTTCCGAGCCAGGCGGCTGCGGCGGCCGGCCGGGGAGACGCGGTAAGCGAGCAGAGAGACTCTCTGCTGCCCGGTGGACAGCGGAGTCTGCTGACCGAGCGGCTGAGGGGGGCGGGGGCTGGGGCAGCGGGGCCGTCGGGGCGTGGGAGGGGCGGGACGAGGACTCCGTCTGGCACGTCCAGGCCGGGAGTACAGGGCGGGGATGGGAAGTTCAGAGATATTAGACAGTACTTCTAGGGTGTAATGTGTTCTGATCTGATGTGGATCAAGTCCGAAGCGTTTCCGTTTCCTTTTTTGGAGTGGAGTTGCTCAATGGCACATTGCCATTGGCCTTCGTATGCAGATGTTTTGTCGATTGAACACCCAAGAGTAGTTAGCGCCGTGTCCCATGTGGATGTGTTCAGCATTGTATTCATACTGAAGGTCGGCTTCTGGACGATGTATCTGAGGTGCCGTTTCGCTATGTTTCTTACGTTCTGTTCATGTGCCCATAGACGGAGTGGTGTCCCAGGACCTGAGTGCCGGAGGAGTTGCTGCGTTGTCCGTGGCTGCGGCGGCGGGTTCGGCGCGGCGCGCGGTGGTGGCGACTTCCGAGGCGTGCCCGCGGGCCCTGGTGTCGGAGACTGCGGCCTCTGGATCGACGGTGAGGTTGGTGACACTCTGTGTCACTCCTCTTGTGGCCTGGGCTGGTCGCTGCCGCCCCCGCCGGCGGCTTCGGCGTCGGCGGTGTCTATCGCGCACTCCTCTCCAATAATCCTGTATTCCGACTCACATAATTACCCACTATCCTACCCACTAGCAAATAAGCACGAACTACACCACGTACCAACCTCATTCCCAGCGGCATGGAAACTATGGCTGAGCTAAAATTTATGACATATAATTGTAGAGGGCTAGGGAGTCGAGAGAAAAGGAGAGATGTTGTTAACTTTCTTAAAAAGCTCGATTTTGATATTTATCTGCTCCAAGACACGCACCTTACCGAAAGAACTGTACAATATTTCAACACTATATGGAACGGAAAATGTTATCACTCTTTTGGAACTTACAATAGCAGAGGAGTGTCAATATTATTCAAACCAAGAGTACAGCACAATGTGATTCATGAGGAACATAGTCCTGATGGAAATTTTCTCACGCTTACCTGCACTATATTTTTAAACACATACACTATTACGACAGTATATGGACCTAATGATGATTGTCCAGCTTTCTTCGACAGATTACACGGCAAATTTGAGACGATACCTAACGAAAACATGATAATCGCCGGAGACTTTAATTTCGTAGCAGATCACTCACATGATTCAAACTATAATCGACAAAATAACCCAGGAGCAAAGAGAGCGTTTTCTGAAATTATAGAACGGTACAATTTGATCGATACTTGGAGAGAATTGCATCCTGATGGCGATGGTTACACTTGGACAAGACCAAATCCGGTCAAATTCGGTCGACTTGATCGAATATATATTTCAGATCACCTAATTACTCACATAATATCAAGTAAAGTATGTCCTGGATACCGGTCAGACCATAATATGGTAACTCTCAGTATCAAAGAGCCACAGTTGAAAAGAGGCCCTGGGCTATGGAAGTTTAATTCGGCATTACTGGAGGACACTGCTTACAAAAAAATTGTTACAGAGATCACAATTAATACAGTAAGACAATACGCAATTCCTATTTATGACGAGGAATTTATTTCAAATCCAAGTAATTTCAAACATATCCAGATGACTATCAGTTCTAGTTTATTTTACGAAACATTACTGATGATGATCAGAGGAGAAACGGTGCGGTTTTCAAAGCAAAAAGCAAAGACAAAGAGAGAAAAAGAAAATAAGTTGTTAACGGAAATAAACAACCTAAATGACATATTTAACAGAAGCAAAACACAAGAGGATTTAAAGCGCTTAGACGATGCTAAACGAAAACTAGAAGAGATGAGAAAGCCCCAAATACAAGGTTTAATAACAAGGTCTAGAGTGGATTGGTTCGAGGACGGAGAAAAATGCTCGAAATATTTTTTGTCATTAGAAAAGAGAAATGCTATGCGAAAGTCGATTCAGGTTATTAGGGATGGAGAGAAAGTGATAAGTAACAAGGAAGAAATACTGCAACGATTTTCACAACATCTACAAACTAAGTATAGAAATAATTCTTCACACAGTAGAAATATCTCCTATCTAGAAAACATCGGAAAACACTTTTTCAACCAGATTTTCTGGGATCGCCGTCCGGCCAAGAGGCGGGGCTGGTCTCGTGTTTCCAGTCTTCTGGAACCTTTCTACCACCCGTTTGAAAGACATTTTTGACGGAATATCCTTCCTCCTTTTAAAATGGCTACCGAAACTCCGTCGCACTGCAGTCAGACTCCGCAAAGCGCCGTAATGCATGACCACCCGCCTCATCATCTGTACACGGCGAATTGACCCGTTTTGACGGTGTTGGCATTGCACGTTCATACAGATGGAACCGTTGACGGTTTGTAAAAGAAAAATATAAGGACTAAAAACCGCAACAAATTTGCAGCAAAATGCATATAAAATTTACGCGCTCACGAACAAGTAAGATCTTCATTTAAGCTATTCAAAAGTAACATTTATTGTGAAACACCCTGTACGAGGGGGGGGGGGCAAAAAATGCCCCCCCCCACCGCGCGGAAGGTGGCTGGGAGGCCCACCGCCTGCCGGGTTAAGTGATATGACCTCAGGCCACGGGTATGAAAACTAGGTAAATATTAGATGAGTCATGTAAGTCTAATTAGTCTGTTGCGAACATTTGCTTCTCCTTGGGTTTAGTCATTGCAAATGCCCTGGTGACCTGACATGGGGCTTGGAATCTTCACGTGTTCGAAAAGATGCATCATGATTTCAAGTACACAAACGACAAAACAGTGCTATTCAAATCTTTATATCTATATTTCGCAGACGTTTCAACGACAAGGCGTCTTCGTCAGTGCAAATGAAGTGAAACTTAGTACATATGTTTAATTAATTAGCATATTCGATAGCATATTCAATAGGATATTCGACAAATATTCGATAAATTACTATACGTATTCGTTCAATCGTTCACATGAAAATGACACAGGATACATTTACCTTTACCCACAGAAACACATCATTTTTGGAGTCCAACCACGTTCTAGACTGTGTGGTCTCCCTCCACTTGTACAAATACATTTAAATATCTATCGCCATCTTTGCTCCGATCTTTGCCCACGTAAAGAAGCCCGATTTTACGTTGATGACATCATTTAACATAATATGTGCTGCTTCTTTTGCTTTACGAACTGATTTTGACATTCCTTCCTCGATGGCGCCCGCCCTGGACCAGTCAGGCAGGCTTCCACACTTGTCTATGTGTGGATCGAATGCGTTTTTTGAGTCGTGATTTCGGACGTCCCGTTTGTGCTCCTTCAGCCGTGTTTCTAAGCCCCTTCCTGATTAATTACTATATTACTATAAATTACTATAAATTACTATACGTATTCCTATACGAATACGTATAGTAATTTATCGAATATTTGTCGAATATCCTATTGAATATGCTATCGAATATGCTAATTAATTAAACATATGTACTAAGTTTCACTTCATTTGCACTGACGAAGACGCCTTGTCGTTGAAACGTCTGCGAAATATAGATATAAAGATTTGAATTGCACTGTTTTGTCGTTTGTGTACTTGAAACAATGTCTTCTTACCAACATGCATCATGATGTTTGTAAAAGCAAAGGTGCTAGGCGCCATGCATGCATATCAGCGCCGTTTTCGCAGTTTTCCCAAACAGAGTTGCTTTCATTTGTCGGCTCTTATCACCTTTGTCCGTCCGTGATTGGCTGTTCCCGCCAGCTGCGGCACCCACCCAGCCCGGCGCTGTGCGGTGACCGGTCACCGTCCCGCCCCGGCGCTGTGCGGTGACCGGTCACCGTCCCGCCCCGGTGCTGAGGCGCTGACCGCCTGCCGCCCCGGCCCGGGGCTAAGCGGTGACCGTCCGCCGTCTGGCCGTTGCAGATCCGCCGGCCATGGGCCATGGGTCGCCACAGTGAGCTGCAGCGCTCCGTGCTCGCTCTGTACCGACAGTGCCTGCGCGCCGCCGCCCATAAACCGGGCGCCGCCGCCGCCGTGCGCGCAGAGTTCCGCCGCAACGCCGACGTTCCGCGCCTCGAGGTGATGCGCATCGAGTTCCTGCTGCGACAGGGCCGCCGCAAGCTGCAGATGCTCCAGGATCCGCACGTGTCGCAAATGGGCCAGTTCCGCAGCGACGACCAGTGACCAGCGTCTGCAAGCTGAGCGGTTTTAGGGGCTTACAGGATACAGCAGCACGGTTTGGACTGCTGATAACGCATGGTTTGGACTGCATCACGAGCTGACGGATTATCAGCTGGCCTGCTCCCCTTGCCAGATTAAAGACTCCTCCACCGCACGATGAGCCGGCTGGTGCGTGTGCGCCACCTGGGTCTGGTCAGCTACTCGGCCGGCCTGGCCGCCCAGAGGGCAGCACTGTCGGCCCACCAGGCGGCGCTGGCGGCGGGCGGTCCGGCGCCTCACGAGCTGCTGCTGCTGGAGCACACGCCCGTGTACACGGTGGGCCGGCGGCAGCAGGGCGCCGACACCGCCGCAGAGGAGGCGCGCCTGCGCCGGCTCGGCGCCGAGTTCGAGCGCACCGGCCGCGGCGGCTTGATAACCTTCCACGGGCCCGGCCAGCTGGTCGCCTACCCGATGCTGAACCTGCGACAGCTGGGCGTGCCCGGCCCCAGGAGGTGAGACAGTCACACACAGCAGACAGGGCGTCCCAGCCCCAGCGGGTGAGGACGATACACAGCAGACAGGGCGTCACAGTCCCAGCGGGTAAGGACGATACACAGCAGACAGGGCGTCCCGGTCCCAGCGGGTAAGGACTAAGGACGATACACAGCAGACAGGGCGTCCCAGCCCCAGCGGGTGAGGACAATTCACGGCAGACTGGGCGTCCCAGTCCCAGTGGGTAAGGACGATACACGGTCTCTGACTGCAAAAGGTGAAATAAGGGAACGTGGGAAATGATGAGTGATACCGGCTTCACAAAGTAAGAAAGCGAAATAGTAAACGCGGCACACGCATAGGGGTCGGCTGGATATCGTACTAGGCACAGGTGTATAAGTGCTTAAAGATGGAGGGAAACTAATAACTATGCATCCATCATGTGTTAAAAGCGTGCGTGAACATAGTCCGGCCGATGCGTCCGTAGTGCGGCCGTTGGCTCACTGCAGCCCGCGCTGTGTCTCTGATCTCTGAGTGGTGTCGGCTGCCCTCTCTGCCTCCAGGTACGTCTGCCTCCTGGAGCAGGCCATCATCAACGTCTGCGGTCAGCTCGGTGTGCCGGCGGCCACCTCTCCGCACACGGGCGTCTGGGTGGGCGACAACAAGGTCTGCGCGCTCGGTAAGTGACGTGACGGGGCCGAGCGGGTACAACAGTACCCACCCACCTGCAACGGACTGAGACGGTAGTCACCTGTCTGAGACGGTACTCGGCCGAGATGGAACTCATCAGTCATCTGATCCAGGCGGTTCTCGCCCGTGACCCGAGACGGTACTGAACTGAGACGGTACTGAACTGACCGAGACGGTACTGAACTGAGACGGTACTGAACTGACCGAGATGGTACTGAACTGACCGGGACGGTACTGAACTGACCGAGACGGTACTGAACTGACCAATACGGTACTAAACTGACCGAGACGGTACTGAACTGACGGAGACGGTAGTGACCTGCCTGAGACGGTACTGAACTCACCGAGATGGTACTGAACTGACCGGGACGGTACTGAACTGACCAAGACGGTGCTGAACTGAACCAAGACGGTACTGTACTGACCGAGACGGTACTGAACTGACCGAGACGGTACTGAACCGAGACGGTACTGAACTGAACTGACCGAGACTGTACGGAACTGAGACGAAACTGAATTGACCAAGACGGTACTGAGCTGACCGAGACGGTACTGACTACTGAACTGGCCGAGACGGTACTGAACCGAGACGTTACTGGACCGAGACGGTACTGAACTGACCGAGACGGTACTGAACTGACCCTGACCGAGACGGTACTCACCTGTCTGAGACGGTACTGAACTGACCGAGATGGTACTGAACTGACCGAGATGGTACTGAACTGACCGGGACGGTACCGAAGTGACCAATACGGCACTGAACTGACCGAGAGGGTACTCACCTGTTTGAGACGGTACTTAGCTGACTGAGACTGTGCCCACCTGAAACGGCACTGAACTGAACTGACCGAGACGGTACTGAACCGAAACGGTACTGAACTGAAACGGTACTGAACTGAACTGACCGAAACGGTACTCACCTGTCTGAGACGGTACTGAACTGACCGAGATGGTACTGAACTGACCGATACGGTACTGAACTGAGTCGGTACTGAACTGACCGAGAGGGCACTGAACTGACCGAGACGGTACTGAACTGACCGAGAGGGTACTGAACTGACCGAGAGGGTACTGAACTGACCGAGACGGTACTGAACTGACCAATACGGTACTGAACTGACCGAGACGGTAGTGACCTGCCTGAGACGGTACTGAACTCACCGAGATGGTACTGAACTGACCCTGACCGAGACGGTACTGAACTGACCCTGACCGAGACGGTACTCACCTGTCTGAGACGGTACTGAACTGACCGAGATGGTACTGAACTGACCGGGACGGTACCGAAGTGACCAATACGGCACTGAACTGACCGAGAGGGTGCTCACCTGTTTGAGACGGTACTTAGCTGACTGAGACTGTGCTCACCTGAAACGGCACTGAACTGAACTGACCGAGACGGTACTGAACCGAAACGGTACTGAACCGAAACGGTACTGAACTGAAACGGTACTGAACTGAAACGGCACTGAACTGAACTGACCGAGACGGTACTGAACCGAAACGGTACTGAACCGAAACGGTACTGAACTGAAACGGTACTGAACTGAACTGACCGAGACGGTACTCACTCACCTGGGATACCGATGGCCTCACAGAGGTCCTCGATATTGTATTTGCGCATGTGTTAGTTACGACACTACAGTGAAAAAAAATCGAACCAATGTTTTTTACTGGTGAGTTTCATTGCTACAATGTAGTGTTTTGTTCGCATTTTTCAATGATGTTGTTTCCAATCCCCATTGGCTCTCACAGTGCTATATTTCCGTGCGTCGTTGTGTACCTACCGTCCGCGGTGCGGCGGTCTTCTGACGGAGCTGCCGTGTCGCCGACAGGGATTCACCTGACGCAGCGCGTGCTGAGCTCGCACGGCCTGGCGCTCAACTGCTCCGTCGACCTCGACTGGTTCCGGCACATCGTGCCGTGCGGCATCGCCGACAAGTTCGTCACCTCGCTGACGGCCGAGCTGGGTCGCCCGGTGGCCGTGGCAGAGGCGGCGCCGCTCGTGGCCGACGCGCTCGCGGCCCGCCTCGGCTGCCGGCTGGTCTGGGAGGACGGCGACCGGCGGGCCAGTGACGTCAGCGCCGCTCAGCCAATCACCGCCGAGTGACGCCGGCCGAGCCGCGCCAGCCGAGTTTGTCCGATATTTATAGTGTTTGCTAGCTACTAACTGGGCATTTCCGCAATCCACATTTTATGAAATTGCTAAACCCGTAGCGGTGCGCTGTGAGTTGTGAAGTGAAATGGGATGTGTGGTCGCATGTCGGGTGGCCGGTGGGATGGGAGTTCTGACGGTGAAATGTGAGCTGGTATCTATGGGATGGAACAGTAAAATGTGCGACTGTGTGAGCGATGGAATGGTGATAGATAACAGGCGTTATTTCACACTCAGGCTAGACATAGTCTATAGTAGGTGAGTAAAGTAAGTCAGTTACCTCAGCCAGGGGGTCGAGGCAGGGTATAAACCATTGAAGGACGGTTGACACTAAACCATGCAGCCGCAAGACGCAAAAAGAGCCGTGATATATCAATCAGACGTAGGTACCTACCTACCGTCCAAACCTCAAGCTTCTAAGTTGTGTGGTGGCACCGCGGTCGGTAGACTCACAGTGTATATAAATATATAAAAGGTATTCATTTCATTTATGAATAGATCTATTCTCATCTATTCATTTAAATGAATAGATAGATGTGCCTAGGCATCGTTTTTTACCTCAATGCTTGAACCCTTGCTCCCCTGGCTAGAACGGGGAGGGCTAGAATCGAAATTCGACAGGCGATACGTCTTCGAACTTGGGAAGGACGAACAGAGTGGAGGCGTCTCAGTCTGGTCCGTCTGAGTGATCAGCGGCCGCATGCCACACGGTATAGAGAGCTGTCGCCCGTCATCGAGAAAAAAGGCTGTCTTATCAGGTACCTGTTAGCAAAACGAATGAGTAATAAATCGTATTGTGTAGCAAATAGCCATCGTTCTCTCCGTTGAACTAGTGGCTGACGTGATTCAATGGTGTTTACATTGAAATAAGCTCTTATGATAATTTTGTGACTGTGAGCTGCGATGTATGTCACAGATGCGCTATTAAATGTCGAGATATGCCGCAAAAAATAACAAGCGGCACACGCCGTGAAAGCTAGCGATCAGGGGCATAGGTAACGATTTGAATCGAATTTCCACGAAATTAAGGTACCCATTTTTCAGCATTTATTTTTCCGAATTACTTCTGCAAGTTCGGTCGGAAACACGAAGGTCCTCTACCGAGATTTTGTGCGTAATTTGTTGATAGTTTTGATGTTATTTGGTAATAATTTTGGCGTAAAAGAACATCAGCTTCACAAGCAATATTTTCGAGGGTATGTTGGTCTCAGTCTGGGTGCAAGATGCTTGCCTCAGGTTTCAGTTGACAGTCATCCAGGCTGGGTTTGATTCCCATTTCCTGAGGGCTGTTCACGGGCCGTGTCAGTGTGCGGTCGGACCGTACACAGGCTGTGAGCTCTGCTCACTGCGTCCCTATGTCAACACTCAACAACGTCAGCCTTCCGTCACCACACACAGCTGACAGCGACCGCTGTGGTCGGTCGGAATGGGCCACAGGGGACCGTCCACCTCACTCAGCCGTGATGTCAGAACTGCCTACCCATCCCCTACCCTGACCCCCATGCCTGCTGCACACACCGCACACACCACACTCAGCAATTTGCGGTGCCCGTGAACACCCCTCTAGGCAAGGCTCATGACCTTGCTGCTCCCTGGCTGCTTGGAATAGGATTATAGATCCTGTTGGCTCTTGATGTACTGGATATGAGGCTTCATTGTAATTGGAACTTAGCAATAATTTAATAGATATTGCTATGCTTCAAATATGGCAAACATTACATTACATTAGAAAATAAGCAAGGTGTTAAGATTAGGTGGCTCTATGAAATATTACAGCTAGGTAACGAAAATGGCAAATACTACCAGTACTTGTCATCTTTTTGCACCCTGGCCTAGGCTCAAAATAGAAACTATGCCATATTGTCAAAAACCATATATTTACCTAGAAAATTGTGTAAACAATCATTAACTCCTAAAAAGAGCAGGTAGGTACACTACAAGTAGAAATAACAAAGCTAATCTAACCTGACCTTACCATACCTAATGTAACCTCATGTTACCTGAATCAATGGCTGGTTGGAGTGGAGATAGGTAACTTATAAATGTTTTGTGTAAAAAGTATTACAAGTATTGATGAGTAATCTCACTTTTCAAAATTTATGCTGGGGAGGATGTGTCCTTTCCTTTCATGTTCTTATTTCATTTTTGCCAATTTGTCCAGTTTTTAGAGGGTGCAAAAAGAAAAGGACCTGATCCCTTTTTTATTTGTGATGACTATTTCCACTATTTGAGGCTTTCTGATAAGTGATATTCTTTTTCAGGTGATCAAGTAACAAAGTACAAGCTGCTGAACTTCAACAGTGTTTGCTAAAGAATTGATTATTTTGCTAAATGTTGTAAGATATTGCTCAATATGTTCCCTCAGCAGTAGTTGAAAGCTGCTACCATACTTTTGAATGTGATACCATTGCAGAGGACATCAGAAGTACCTAAACCTTGCGTCGAAACTCCATCAAGGTACAGATTCTACTGAAATCACCATTTCATACTGCATATTTTTTTATAATGTGCTAGGTAACTCCCATAGAATTTTATAGCAGGTATAAAACAAATCATTATTATTCGTAAGTGAGCAGTGCCGGTGCCACAAGGCCCGTCGGCAGTGAGCCGGCAGAGCCCGTCGGCCGCACCGGGCTTGACGCGGCGCTCGTCGTCGTCTCGATGCCCCGGCGCTGGAGCGGGCCACGCTCGCGCCGCTCCTGTCAGCCGGCTGGGGAGCTGACGCTGGCCGACAGCGCCGACGCCCGACTGCCGGTGGCGCGGCTGCGGAAGGCGCGCGCCCCCAGGACGGACGTGCCCGACTGCTGGGAGGACGTGGTCGACGAGCCGCCCGACCGGCACGCCGACTCGGCCGGCGGCGGCGGGCTGTGGCACGCCGGTGGCGGGCGGGCTGAGCGCGGCGCCGGCCGCCGCTACCCGCCCGAGCTGTGGTACCTGATCGGCCGTCACGTGGCGCCCGAGGACGTGGCGCGGTTCGCGGCCATCTGCCGCGACGCGTACCGGAGCACGCTGACGCGCCAGTTCTGGGTGCGCCTCTACTGGCACTGGTGCGCCCCGCCGACGCCGCTCGGTCTGCTGGCGGCGCCCGATTTCGTGCAGGAGCAGCGCGGCTGCCGGGCGGCCGTGGTGCGCGCGCTGCATCGGCTGTACGGGCCGCTGCGCGCGCTGCGCCGCCGCGCCGCCGACAGTACCGACACGTGCCGGCTGGTGGGCGCCCAGTGCATCAACATGGGCCGCGCACCGGCCGGCGGCGACTTCTGGCTGTACTGCCTGGTGTTCCGGCGACCGGTGAGCCAGTTCCACCAGCGACTGGCGCCGCCATCCTGTCGCGACGTGCGGCTGGCGCGCGAGCTGCTCTTTGAGAACGCCGACGAGGGCACCACGTGTCTGCTGGTGCGCGCGCACGGCACCAGCCAGCTGCCGGCCGTGTTCGGCCACGTGGTGCACAGTGTGTCCGTCACCATGACGACGGGCATGCAGCAGAAGATGAGCATCGTGTTCACGCAGACGGGGTACCGGGAGGGCGGTTGCCGCGCGCCGGCCGCCTACCTCAGCCGGGTGCTGGTACTGGCCCCCGTCAACTCGTTCCGGCTGGTGCACTGGTGGCACGACGAGTTCCACGAGGTGTTCCACAAGCACATGCTGGCCGGGAAGGAGAGTGCGGTGCCGGCGCCCAGCTGATGTCGGCTGGACTCAGCGGGGTCCTCGTGCCCTTAGTGTGCCACTCGGTGCGGTGTCGCCCCTCTGCGGTGAGCTGGCGCCGACCCTAGCCTGATAAATGCAGCTGCAGTGTTGTGCCTGCTCGCAGCGGACTGAAGGTGTTCTTTCAATGGGTCTAACTCAATTGCACGTTTTGTGTGTCGTGATTGGATTTAGTTTCAAGTTTGTTTTTTTAGAATGTGCCGAGCTGGTAGGATGGAATATTTGCTTTGAGTTTTCGGTGTCGAGTGGGATTTGTTTGATGTATATCTTTGGACGATGTCTTGTTCAGGGAGCAATTCGTTACAGGGAAGCATTGACTTCGGGCCGGGCGATAGTACACACTACACAGCGAGTTCCGCCGCAGTTATTGGTCCCGTGCTGTTACTCGGGAATCCCACTCCGTTTCGTTCCCCTTGGCGTGCTTTGAGACTTGTCCGTGGCTGGTCTATCGTGTGATAAAGTGACGTATGTGAACGGGGACTGGAATGGAGGATGAAATCTGCCAACAGTGTTTCGCTGATAGCAGCAACTTGCTAACGTTTCTGAGTTACAAGTACGTGCGATATTACGAACACGTTATGATGTATTAATGCGATATGAGGGAGCAATGATTGAAACCACACTTATTAACCTGCGCCAAAGTTGAAGGTGATACACATTTTTGTAGAAATTGTGTACCTTCATCCTAGTTTCGTGTGAAAATGATTTGTGCGAAGGATGTGCATAATCTATGACCGGTCGCATCGGCCACAATGTTGTGCGCTTTTGGAGGTATGGCCCGCCGGGGAGTGATCCGAATTCCAGAGCTATGTAGCGCGGAGGCTAATACAAGGCTACCATTGGATCTTACTGGTATTGTATTGTATTGTATTGTATTGTATTGTACTTATCGTGGCAAGCCGATCCATCCGAAAATGGCTATTATTGGCTGCCGAGTCAGGTGAAACGAATGAGGTGGGCACAACATTACACACAACACACACGCATCACATTTGCACACATATTCACATTTGCGCCACCGCGCCGCTACACACTGGCCGGGTCGCCGTGTTGCTCACGCAGTAGGAGCTTCCGATACTCCCTCCGAAAGAGCCTGTGACCGAGATTGCGCAGCGCCTGAGGCAGAGCGTTATACTGCGATACAGTGGCGTATAGGAACCGGCGGCGCCCGGATTCCGTTCTAATCACGGGTAAATCGAGCAGGTGGGACTGACGCGTGTCACGCCCATGCACGCTACCTCGCGACACAATCGCGTTGGATAGGGCTTCGGGCTCTCCTGTCTCGAGGATTTTCTTTAATAGCGTGACAGACTGTAGACGCCACATATTCTCGGCCGAGAGCCACCGCAACTCTTTCAGCACTTCGCTTACATGGTCATACTTCCGCTTGCCCGACACAACACGAGCACCGAAATTGATAAGCCGCTGGAGCCGAGACATCTGGGTGACACCACATCCACCATAGACAACAATGGCGTACCGGATCGATGAGACTACTAGAGCCTGAACCAGAGTGGCCAGCGTACTTTTCGGTAGGTAGTGCCTACTGTGACTCAGGCCGCTCAGAATACCGGTGCATCGGCGGGCTACATCAGTCACATGGTTTGAGAAGGTCATGCTCTCGTCAAAAGTGACGCCGAGGTTTTTAGCTGAGGACGTTCCCACAGTAGTGGTACCCATGAACCTGATTTCTATCGGGACTAGTTGACGAATTTGCTGCCTTGTGCCCAAAACAATGATCTGAGTTTTATCTGCGTTAATCTTGAGCCCATTTTTTCGGAACCAGAGTGACAGAGCTGCAAGGTCCCGCTCCAACTGGGTTACCATAGCTCCGGCATCGCCTGGACTCCCCAGTACAGCTAGCTGCGTGTCATCACAGTATTGTACAAGACAACGATCGTACAAGGCACCTTCCGGCAAAAACAGTGACATATCGGTGGTGTACACGTTGAACAACAACGGCCCGAGCGCGGATCCCTGATAGGTGCCGATGGGGTTGTCCAAAGGCCGTGACAGAGTACCACGACCGTCCGGTGTACGAATCTGGACTTGTTGTTGGTGATCGGCAAGATAACTGGAGAACCAGCGGACGTCGACGCCGTACTGCTCAAGTTTGACGAGCAATCGGTCGTGGGGTATAACGTCAAAGGCCTTAGACAAGTCCAGCATACAAAGTAGCGCCACCTGTCGTCGATCCATCGCCTCAAAAACCCTGTCAGTTAAGGTCAGAAGTGCAGTTTCGGTAGAATGGTTGTTTCGGAAACCATGCTGGCTGGGGGAAAAGAGATGATGGGCTGAGAGGTAGGAAAAAAGTTGCTCATATACTACTCGTTCAGTGATTTTGGCGATCGTTGGAAGGATGGATATTGGTCTGAAGTTTGATGTCTCTGTAGATTTAGGATTTTTCTGGATGGGATGGATCACTGCGAGCTTCCATGACCGAGGGACTGTGTGAGACGTTAAACAAGAATTAACAATGTGCGTGATGACGTGGCAGGAGTAGTAAGGTACCCTTGATTTGCAGTGCTTTTACGTGGCACAAATCTGGTACGCATCGGGCTGGGAGTGAGAGAGACACCAACACGCCAAAGCGAATAGTCGTATCAATGGATATGAATGGGATGTGGAGAATATGCTTTTACTCACTACTGATTTTTTTTATTTATTTATTTAGACATACAACGACTCCACAAGTAGGTGCTGTGGCTATTCTGCCGAGGTGAATATGAGTTATTCCCTATATTGTGTATTTTTGAATGCATCATCATTCTTTCGCCTCTGTTCCTCTCCTGCATCAGTAATAACTAATTGTTTCCCCTTGCAAGTGTGCTTTGTTTCCATCGCGATCGCGGTCTTTATCCTTTAGGTATGCATTGCTCATCACGTATTATGTATTTATTATCCATGATGTTTTACATTTCTAACATGTTAAATGTGACGTTTCGTCATCACAAGCGAAACCCAGAGCTTGTTCCCCGAATAGCCGTGCCTAGTTTCTAATAATTAGGTCTCATTTCACCGTTGGCCGCCTTCTGTCCTTGCACTGTTCTGTTCGGTCTATAACCGTGCATGGTAAATGAGTCTCGGTAAGTCTCGGCACGGATATTGTGTCTGTCAAAAGACATCCCATATTCAGCCTAGCTTGGGGACGCCTCGGATTAACTTGAAATTCGCACACAAAAGAGCCCTTGGGATGTGAACGACGTCACTCCTAGCCAAGTAAATCACTGGGACTTTGATTCGATCGATTAAAGTCCCAGTGATTTACTCGACCTGAACCTAACTCATCTACTCCTCTCTAGTCTTTACATCTAGTCAATGTCTGGCACAAGTTCGCGTTAACTTATCCTACCTTGGATAATGATGTAAATAATAAACCAATTAATACAAATCAGGGCCTCGGCTAAGGAATTTTGACTGGTGGGCCACTTGGGCAGCGACATGGACTGACCTTCGTAGCCATAGCCCCCCCCCCCCCAATTTTCGATTTCTCCCCAGATTTCGGCCACTTTATTCTGCAAAAAACGTCAGGATGGCATTAAAAAAAATGTAAAAAAACGGGGCTCGACCCCCCCCCCCCGGCTCTTCAGAGAGAGAGGAGAGAGTAGGGACCCACAACCCTCTCAGTGGTGATACTTCCTCGGTGCACATAAAATCGCACAAGCACGGAATATATAGTCTACGACATATCGTAGTACATATCGACATATCGACATGTCGTAGACTATATATTCCGTGGCACAAGTATGCACACAATATTGACGCAGATTATAAAACTTTGGACGATTATAACTTACGGCCGTGAGTGGATCGCTCGCCGACTAGTCGGAGATTCGGAAGCGGTCGGACGGGATCGGGCGTTGTTGGGTGAATCGGGAGGAATTGTGAACAGCACGAGTGCAACTTTATATATAAAGTGGGTTGTAGCAGGAACCCCAAAAGGGGGTTGTAGCAGCAACCCCAACATCTCTGAAAATGATCATTAACCTTCCAGGCGGTGGGGGGGCATTTTTTTGCCCCCCCCCCTTAGTTTTTTCGATATATCTCGAGAACCGCTGCGCCGATCGTCACCAAACTTTCAGTACCCTCCCGGGAGTAGCTAGCGCACATGGTGACCAAAAATTTTTCCAAAGGCTATGATAGGTTGGCCGCTAATGACGTCAGAGTGACGTCATTTTTGCCATTTTCGACCCAAAAAAAGGTTTCGCGGGAAGAGCTGTCAGGCCTACAGCTTTAGAGATACAGAAAAATGTTCCGACATAAAAGGTGTGAAATCAAGAGGGCTACAAAACTGTTATTTCGGTTTTTCGAATTTTTTGGATTTTGACCCCCAAAAATCAAAAACTAGATTTTTTGAAAATAATAGCCGAAAAATCTAAAAAGTTTTTCGAATTACGAAAAAACCGGAATATATGTGATAGTCCCTACCGCCTTCTATCTACATACCAAATTTGAGATCAATACCTCTTTGTTTGGCCAAGTTATAGCGAAAAAACTGTTCAAAATTGATGACGTCAAATTTTCAAACTCAATTTTTAGCAATTCTAGACCTCGTAGCGCAAAACAAAGACCACCATTAGACTCCCCGTGACGAGCTGCATCGAATCGGTACCCATTTTATGCAAAAATATCAACTTTGAAATTTGACCTTTTTTGACCTGACCTTGACCTGACCTCCACCAGCAAGTGACCTAAACCGTACCTGATGGTCTTATAACCAATACCATTGAGCTGGAAATGAAAAAACTGGCCGTAAAACATGCATCGCACAACCTTAGTAAAATTGGGTTCAAGTGGTGACCCTTGGTGACCTTTGGTGACCTGACCTGTGACCTGACCTGGTATGACCAGTGACCTCTAATAGCAACATATGTACTAGACAACTGACGCCTTATCGCTGATTTTCGACAAAATGCGTTTTACTCGGTGTTATAGCGCTTTCCCTAGAAGCCCCGTGAACGGTGAAACATTTAATCTTTGACCTGACCTGTGACGTCATCGGTGACCCCGAGGTCAATGAAATTCGGTTTCCTTCGACAAATTTGACAGGGCTATCGAACGCCGTTTGAATTTTCCGGATCCGTCCAGTAGTTTCGGAGATACGAGGGGGGGGGGGGGGGCAAAAAAAATGCCCCCCCCCCACCGCGCGGAAGGTGGCTGGGAGGCCCACCGCCTGCCGGGTTAAGCCTATTGGTGTCGCATGGAAAATAATTGACTCAAAAGCCCAAGCGCACTGCGCAACCCTGATATTTTCTTTAAAAAAAAAACTAAGTTATGTACACGTTCACTTCTGGTGAACAGTGTCCCAAACTTTAGATTTCTCTTGGGTGTCTGAGTGGAAAATTCGAGCCACCCAAAATGTGAGAGTGGAAAATTATCCATTTTTATTCTTGAGTGTCATCTTCAGACCAAATGAGAAATTTTTGGAACGCTGACTGTGAACGGTTCGAAATTCGTCCAACTGGTCAGATGTGTGACTGCAAGCATCATACCGGTCGTGAAGACGCATAATATCGCTTGCAGACTTCAATCGGCTGGAAGTCGCCGACACTACCTCTATTTTGACTCTGGCTTATATCGTGTCTATCGGCGAGCCGTCTGAGATCGCTCGCAGGCTTATCCCCGACCGTCTGAACCGGTCTGTTCTTTATTCGTAGTTTTTCTTGTAACCGACTGGTCTGCGGCAGATGCTTATGTGACTGCAACCACTCGATCGATCGGAAAGCTTGCAAGAACTCTCGCAGACCTCGATCGGCTGGAAGCCGCCGACACTATCTGTAATTGACAGAGGCAGACGGCTTTCGCGATTATTGCATAAAATTTAAAGCCTCGGTCACACTTC